CACCCACCACCACCCGGTCAAAACTCCTACCACCACCCTATCTAAAATCCCACCACCACGCGGTCTAAACTCACACCACAAACTGGTCTAAACTCCCACCACAACCCGGTCTAAACTCCCACCACAACCCGGTCTAAACTCCCACCACTACCCCGTCTTAACTCTCACCACCATCTGGTCTAAACTTTTACCACCACCTGGTCTAAACTCCCATCACCACCCTGTCTAAAATCCCACCACCACCAGTCTAACCTCCCACCACAAGCAGGTCTAAACTCCCACCACCACCCAATGTAAATTCCCACCACCACCTCGTCTTAACACCAACCACCATCCGGTCTAAAATCCAACAAACACACCACATTTATTCCCACCACCACCTGGTCTAAATTCCCACCACCACCCGGTCTAAACTCCCACAACCACCTGGTCTAAACTCCCACCACCACCCTGTCTAAACTCCCACCACCCTCCGGTCTAGAATCCCACCACCACCTGGTCTACACTCCCACCACTACCCTGTCTGAACTCCCACCACGACCCAGTCAAAACTCCCACCACCACCCCGTCTAAACTCCTACCACCACCCGGTCTAAAAGCCCACCACCACGCCGTCTCAACCCTTACCACAACCCGGTCTAAACTCTGACCACATCCCGGTCTAAACTCCCACCTCCACCCGGTCTAAACTCGCATCACCACCCGGTCTAAACTCCCACCACCACCCCGTCTTAACTGCCACAACCACCTCGTCTTAACGCCCACCACCGTCTGGTCTTAACTCCTACCACCACCCGGTCTAAACTCCCACCACAACCCGGTCTAAACTCCCACCACCATCTGGTCTATACTCCCACCACCATCTGGTGTAATATCCTTCCACTACCTGGTCTAAACTCCCACCACCACCCTGTCTAAAATCTAACCACAAGCTAGTCTAAACTCCCTCCACCACCCAATCTATATTCCCACCACCACTTGGTATAAAAACCCACCACCACCTGGTCTAAAATGCCACAGACACACAGTCTTAACTTCCACCACCATCCAGTCTAAACTCCCACCACCACCCGGTCTAAGCTCCCACAACCATCTGGTCTAGAATCCCACCACCACCCAGTCTAAAATCTCACCACCACCTGGTCTATACTGCCACCACCACCCAGCTTAAACTCCCACCACCACCCCGTCTAAACTCCTACCACCAACTGGTCTAAAATCTTGATACCACGCGGTCTAAACTCGTACCACAATCTGGTCTAAACTCCCACCACAACACGATAAAAACTCCCTCCACCACCCAGTCTAAACTCCCACCACCACCCGGTCTAAACTCTCACCACCATCCCGTCTAAACTCCCACCACAACCAGGTCAAAAATCCCACCACAGCTCAGTCTAAACTCCCACCACTACCCGGTCTAAACTCCCACCACCACGCGGTCTAATCTCCCACCACCACCCCATCTTAACTCCCACCACCATCTGGTCTAAACTCCCACCACCACTCTGTGTAAACTCCCACCACCACCCAGTCAAAACTCCCACCACAAGCCCATCTAAACTCCCACCGCCACCCAGTCTAAATTCCCACCACTACCCGGTCTTATCACCCACCACCACTCGGCAAAAAATCCCACAAACACAGTGTGTTAACTCACACCACCACCCAGTCTAAACTCATGCCACCACCCCATCTAAACTCCCACCACCACCCAGTCAAAACTCCCACCACCACCCAGTTCAAACTCCCACCACCACCCCGTCTAAAATCCCACCACCACCTGGTCTAAACTCATACCACCTCCCTGTCTCAATTCCCACCACCACGCTGTTTAAACTCCCACCACCACCCCATCTAGTCTCCACCACCACCCCGTCCAAACTCCCACAAACACCCCATCTTAACTACCACCACAACCCAGTCTAAACTCCCACCACCACCCGGTCTTAACACCCATCACCGAGTCTGAAATCCCACAACCACCTAGCCAGAAATCCCACCACCACCCGGTCTAGACTCAAACCACAACCCGGTCTAAAATCCTACCACCACCCGGTCTAAACTCCCACCACCACCCGGTCTAAACTCCTACCGCCATCTGGTCTAAACTCATACCACCACCCTGTATCAATTCCAACCTCCACCTTGTCTAAAATCCCCCCACAACCCGGTCTAATATCCTGCCACCACCCAGTCTAAACTCCCACAAACACCCAGTCTATGATGAAAATCATGCAAATCTGGAGAGAACTAATTAGAGATTAAGTCTGACGACTTCAACGGAACATTGCGTGCAGCTCAGATAACTTCTAGAAATGAGCTTATACGCGTTGGAAAGGTCTTAATCTCTAATTTCCAGAATGGTAAAGCACGTTCATAACCAAGATCTGAGCTGCTGATTATGACGAAATCAGTGTGAGGGAATATTCTGGTAATTTGGCTAGGCAGCCATGAATCACCTAGTAAAAACGAGAAGGGAAGCAGTTAGATCTGGAAAAGTTCGAGTATGTGATTGTCAAACACCACCAACCCTCGCCCTAGACCAAACCCCAACACTTCCAAGTGCCACAACTGCAACATCAAAGATGTTGTAGTGGGTTTGAGGTTGTATGGGTTGGAAAGGTAACGAGATCAAACGGTGCCCACCAACCCTTGTTCTTTTGCCCAAATCCCAATAGCCCACAACCAGCTAGAGCAAACTACACCACAGAACACTACACATTTATCACTCCCTCTTGCTCGTGCTGGGTGTGGCTCAACACCATAGGGCAAAAGACTTCACACCACTCCCCCTTGCCCATGGGTTGGGGCCACCCAGAGCATGGAGTCCACCAAGGAGAGGAGCACCAAGACGCCGGCATCTGCTTCGGGAACCCTGTCATCATGGGGCTGCATCCCAAGCAAGGTCATGCACACACCATGGCGCTCAAATGGAAGAGACTTGGTAAGAATATCAGCAGCCTGACGGTTGGTAGGGCACCACTGCAAAATCACCTCTCCCGCAGCCACCATCTCCCGAATGAAATGCCACCGGACCTGCATGTGTTTGGTGCGGCCCTGCAAGCATGCATTCTGTGCAAGGGCAATGGCAGACTGATTGTCCACAAACACAGGCACACCACCAGCATGACCATGGCCAAACTCCCCAAGCAAACGCCTTAGCCACACACCCTCATGAATGCACTGACACAGACTTATGTACTCACTCTCAGTGGTAGAGTGCCACCACGGGCTGCCTCTTGCTCTGCCAAGAGATAGCTGCCCCATTCAGACAGAACACATACCCACTGTGGCTCGTGTGACTTGCGGAATCTCCAGCAGTGTCGGCATCACTGAAGCCAACCAGCTGGACCTGAGATTGGGGCTGTGTTTGGAAGAAGGTACTTGACTTGACACCACCTTTCAGGTACCTCAGCACTCTATTAGCGGCATGCAAGTGGAACATTTTAGGACAAGAGGCGACCTTAGATAGCTGTGAGATTGCGAATGCAATCTATGGCTGTGTGGTAGTACAAGCATACATGAGGGATCCCACAATGCTTTGGTAGAGCTTGACCAGCTCATCTCGCAGCAAAGGTTCATCCTCATAGGCATGCACATCAAAGCCTGTCGGGAGAGGAGTACGCACGGGGTTGGCCTCTGAAATACCAAAGGACTGAAGCATGTTAAGAATATACCTCTCTTGATGAATCAAGATACCACTTTCATCACGCTCAATTTGCATTCCCAAGTAGTACTTTACCTCCCCCAAGTCCTTCATGCGAAAACGCGAGGACAAGAAGTCTTTCACTCGATCTAGCAAAGCCTTGCTAGAGCATAGGAGCAAAAGGTCATCCACATAGAGGAATAAGGAGATCCTCTCCTCATCTCTCACAAAGTGGTACAAGGCAAGGTCCCACTCAGATCTCTCAAACCCAAAATCCATGAGAGCCTCATCAAATTTCAGGTACCACTGTCGTGGGGCTTGCTTCAGCCCATAAATGGACTTTTTGAGGCGGCACACTCGGTTAGACCCATAATCAAAACCAGGGGACTGCCGCATGTAAAGCTCTTCCTCCAAATCCCCATGGAGGAAGGCTGTCTTGACGTCCATATGATGGATATCAAGCCCCAAAGCAGCCGAAATTCCAAGCATACCTCTCAAGGTCGCATGCTTCCAAGCACACTTCTTCATAGTGTACTCCCAATTTCTGCATGTTTCCCATCACCACCAATCTGGACTTAGGCCTCTCAACAGTACCATCAGGGTTATGTTTGTATTTCCAAACCCATTGACACTTGAGGACCTCCAAACCAGGTGGTACCACTACTGGATCAACCAGCTCAAATGATCCATTTACCTTGTGAGACTCAAGCTCCTCATGCATGGACTTAACCCATTTGGGATGGTTCAGCGCCTCATGGACTGACCTAGGCTCATGCACCTGACCCATTAGACACACATCAAGAGCATACTCATGCCCATGCATGTCCACAAGCATGCAATCATCCAAATCAAACACAAGATGATCATGCATGCGTGCAATGTGCCCCGGTGAAAACCTTTCAGGTGGCTGGGAAATTCGAGCACTGCGTCGCAGAGGTGTTGCCTCTCCTTCTTCCAGCCTCCGCAGCTTCTCCTCCCAAGTCACCCTCTTCATTGGAGTCCTTGGAGTCTTGGACAGCTGCTGGTTCAACAACTGCTGCCAACTGCTTCTCGATGGAGTTGAAGGCACATGCTGCTCCGGCTGATCATCACGCGCATCGGCCTGCGTGGCTGGCTGAGGGGTAGAATCTGTCTCTCGGGACACCTCATGGTTAGGATCAGCTGGTTCTGGCTCCTCCTGCTGCTCCTCCCCTTCATCTCCAGGGTCCTTCCATGCCCCCTCAAAGATAGAGGCCGTATGAGGGTCTTGAATGGAAGTCCCACTTTGGCTTGTACCATGCTCCTTCCACCCCTTAAAATTCAGCCCCTCATGGAAAACCACATCACGGCTCTCCAACACACGCTGGTCAGCTACACTCCACAGCACCCAAGCCTTGCTCCTCTCAGAAACCCCAAGGAAAATCCCCCACTGTGCCTTAGGATCTAGCTTCCTCCTTTGCTGGTCAGGTACCTTATACTGTGCCATGCACCCCCACACTCGTGCCATGGAAACATTCGGCACCTTCCCTATCCATAAGGAGTATGGGCTCTTGCCTCCAAGCCCCTTGCTGCCCAACCTGTTCTTCACCCAGTTGGCATACTGCACTGCTGCCCCCCACCAAGTGTTATCGAGCTCGGCATGGGCAAGGATGGCCCGAGCCAAATCGGTCAAGGTCCTGTTAAGCCGCTCCGCTGCCCCATTTTGCTGCGGCGTGTAAGGTACAGAGAGCTGGTGGGAAATACCCTTTTCTTCCAAGAAGATTTGAAATTCTTTCCCAAGGTACTCTCCACCCCGATCTGACCTTAACACCTTCACCTTGGCCCCTGACTCCCTCTCCACATAGCGTATCCACCGCTTAAACACCTTTGCCACCTCATCCTTGGTCTTCACCAAGATGACCCAGCTAAGTCGACTGAAGTCATCAAGAAAGGTGACAAAGTATCTGCTGCCCTTTTCCCGGTCAGGAGTTTGCATCGGTCCACACACATCCGTGTGCACCAGCTCAAGGGGAGTCGAGGCATGATCAGAGGGGATAGGGAATGAGGTTCTAGGCAGCTTTCCAGATGTGCATTCAGGACATTTTCTCTGCTGCCCAGCTCCTTCCTTGACCTCCACCCCCTTCAGCTCCCCCTTCTTCACACACTCCAACAGTTGCTGCTTCCCCGTGTGCCCCATGCGAAGGTGTAGCAACTCAGGTGACACAGTTTCCACCTGCCTCCAGCGAGTGCTACAAGTGTCTTCCTCAGAAAAAACCATATGTGCCTTGTAACAATTAGGCACACAAGCCGGAACAAGGTATAAACCTTTGTCCAGCTTTGCTTCCATCACCACAGCTTCACCCTTTCTAACAGTGCACCCTCCCTCACTGAAAGTGCAGATGTATCCCTGTTTAGCCAGCTGCGAGCATGAAAGGAGGTTTGCAGCCAAACAGGGACGTGAAGGACCCCCTTCACACCCACTAGCTCCCCCTCCTTCCCCTTAATGGTGATCGTGCCGATGCCAATTGCCTACAGCAAATCTCCGCTCCCAACAATCACGCTCCTAGAGTTTGGTGGGAGAGGATGGTAGGAGGTGAAGAGATCACGGCGAGGAAGCATCCCAGATGTTGCTCTAGAGTCTAGAACCAGGAAGTTGGGATCAGCCAATGCACGACCAGCGAGAGCTGCATCCTGCCCTAGCATGAGAAATGAGAAACCATCATCGGAGGAGTCGTCTTGACCCTTCCCCTTCTCATCCTTAGCAGCTGCGGCCGTTGCTCCCTTTCTACCCTTCTTATTCCAGAGCCCCTTCTTCATCCTTTTCTCCACCCAATCAGGTTTGGTCACTGGTGGGGCCTCTCCAGAGTAGACGTGAGGCTTCCATCCCTCAGGCCTACTCCAGCAACTCTTCCAAGAGTGTTTTTTGTTGCATCCGAGCACAAGGCATTTGTCCAACTCTTTCTTCTTCCCCCCACCTCCTAGCTGTTGACAGCCTTTCCTGAAGGAAGCTTTATCTGCTGCACCCATGCCTCCTTCTAGGCCTCTTCCAGCATCAACCTTGCGAGCCTCATAAAAAATTAGAACCTCCCAAATCCACACCTTGGTCCATTTCTGTTGCTCGAGATGAAGGTACTGTAGTAATGCCTCATTAGCCGCTTGATCCAACCCTTGGAGCGCAGTATAGATGATCTCCTTCTCATCTACCGTGTAATCCAGCTCCTCCAAAGCCCTCACATTCTCATCCACCCTCTGGAGATACTCAACCATGGTCTTCCCCTCCCCATAGTTCCGCTCCATGGTGTAAAACCGCTTCTGCCAAATAAGCACACTTAGAAGCCCTATATGCAAGTGCCTGTCTTGTACTCTTTTCCAAGCTGCAGCCGGTGCACCTTCCTTCCCCTTCAGGTCAATCAGCATCTTAAGAAGCTCAAGTTGCCCCTCCAAAGCCCAACACAGGTACTGAAATGCCTGGTGATCCTTCCGATCCCATGCTTCTTGAGCTTTGAGCAACTCCTCGCTACTTGGTTGCGACCTTCCGGTTCGAGTTGCATCGGTTCCTCCTTCATTCCCCCCACTCAACGATGCTCCCCCAGCCCCGGATCCCACTTGGCTGGTTTCTCCTGTAGACGCCTCCCCAGAGTCAGCTCGTGGTCGCTTCTCCGATCCATCCAACACACTTTCTAGGTCCTTAATACCTAGCCATAGTGTGAACTGGAACCTCCATAGCGAAAAGTCCGAGCCGGTAAACCTAGGAGGGCCATCCAACTTTTGGGCCATGTCAAACCCTAGATCTGGAGCACTTCAAGCCTCTCTAGATCTCTTCCCATGGAGGAAAGAACGTCCTCTAACCGTGGCTCTGATACCACTGATGAAAATCGTGCAAATCTGGAGAGAACTAATTAGAGATTAAGTCTGACGACTTCAATGGAACATTGCGTGCAGCTCAGGTAACTTCTAGAAATGAGCTTACACGCGTTGGAAAGGTCTTAATCTCTACTTTCCATAATGGTAAAGCACGTTCATAACCAAGATCTGAGCCGCCGATTATGACGAAATCAGTGTGAGGGAATATTCTGGTAATTTGGCTAGGCAGCCATGAATCACCTAGTAAAAACGAGAAGGGAAGCAGTTAGATCTGGAAAAGTTCGAGTATGTGATTGTCAAACACCACCAAACCTCGCCCTAAACCAAACCCCAAGACTCCCAAGTGCCACAACTGCAACATCAAAGATGTTGTAGTGGGTTTGAGGTTGTATGGGTTGGAAAGGTAACGAGATCAAACTGTGCCAACCAACCCTTGTTCTTTTGCCCAAATCCCAATAGCCCACAACCAGCTAGAGCAAGCTACACCACAGAATACTACACATTTATCAGTCTAAACTCCCACCACAAGCTGGTCTAAACTCCCACCACCACCTAGTCTAAACTCCAATCACCACCTAATCTAAACACCCACCACCACCCGGTCTAAACTCCCACCACCACCCTGTCCAAACTTCCACCACCACCCAGTCTAAACTCCCACCACAAGCCGGTCTAAAGTCCCACCGCGACCAAGTCTAAATTCCCACCACCACCCGGTCTTAACACCCACCACCACTGTGTCAAAAATTCCACAAACGCACCGTCTTAACTCCCACCACCACCTGGTCTAAACTCATACCTCCACCCCCGTCTAAACTCCCACCACCACCCGGTCAAAACTCCTACCACCACCCAGTCTCAAATCCCATCACCACGTGGTCTAAACTCCCATCACAAACCAGTCTAAACTCCCACCACAACCCGGTCTAAAATCCCACCACCACCCCGTCTTAGCTCCCACCACAATCTGGTCTAAACTTCTACCACCACCTGGTCTATACTCCCATCACCACCCTGTCTAAACTCCCACCACCACCAGTCTAAACTCCCACCACAAGACGGTCTAAAATCCCACCACCACCCAATCTAAATTCCCACCACCACCACGTCTTAACACCCACCACCATCTGGTCTAAAACACCACAAACACACCACCTTTACTCCCACCACCACCTGGTCTAAACTCCCACCACCACCTCGTCTAGACTCCCACCACTATCTGGTCTAAAATCCCACCACCATCTGGTCTAAACCACCACCGGGTCTATACTCCCACCACCACCCAGTCTAAACTCCCACCACAAGCAGGTCCAAACTCCCACCACCACCTAGTCTAAATTCCCACCACCACCTGGTCTTAACACCCACCACCACTCGGTAAAAAATCCCACAAACACACTGTCATTACTCCCACCACCATCCGCTCTAAACTCATACCGCCACCCCATCTAAACTCCCACCACCACCCAGTCCAAACTCCCACCACCATCCGGTCTAATCTCTGACTACCGCCCCGTCTAAACTCCCACAAACACCCCGTCTTAACTCCCACCACCACCCAGTCTAAACTCATACTACCACCCCGTGTAAACTCGCACTACCACCCGGTCTAAACTCCCACCACAACCAGGTCTAAACTCCCACCACCACCCAGTCTAAACATCCACCACCACACGGCCTAAACTCCCACTATCACCCGGTCTAAACTCCCACCATCACGTGGTCTAAACTGCCACCACCACACTGTCTAAACTCCCATCACCACCCAGTATAAACTCCAACCACCATCCAGTCTAGAATCCTACCACAAACCGGTCTATACTACCACCACAACCTGGTCTAAACTCCCACCACCACCCAGTCTAAACTCCCACAACCCAGTCCAAACTCCCACCACCACCTAGCCAAAACTCCCACCACCACCCGGTCTAGACTCCAACCAAAACCCGGTCTAAAATCCCACCACCACCCGGTCTAAACTGTTATAATCACAACAGGCTCAGATATGCCTAGAATGAGAGATAGAGTGCACAGTCAGATTTCCAACAAACAGCTTCAAATATTGATATTGATCTGATCTGTAACTTAAACGCTGATCTGTATATTGGATCTAGAGCGCGCTGCTGTCGCCTATTAGTAGCAAGTTGAATCATGAAATGCGATGATAGTTTGAGGACGCTATGGCGGTTTGACTGGCAGGAGGTATAGCAGCCACTATAGTCTTAGAAGTACAAACTTAGCAAGAAGAAATGAGATTAAGATGGTTCCCAGCCTCTACATACCCTAAGAGCCAAGGTCCAGGTTGGTGGTACACCACCAAAGAGTCCCCAACCACGAAGATCTTGGACACGTCCCTTGGGCATGAAAAATTGAGCTCTTGGTCTTGGTTCTCCAAGACAAATTCTTCTTAAGTTCATGAGGGCTTTCTGCACTCACCTGCGATGCAATGGACACTTCACACTCGACAACATAGAAAAACACATGTGACGCGCAAACGACGTCTTGACATGCGAGTTGTAAAAACTCGCTAATGTCTTGACCGACACAAACCACATTGTGATACACCATTCAAGCACACACACAAGCGCTAGATAGCAATGACATAGACTCACAAATCATTCCATGCCATGCACACACACGAACAAGGACGACAAGCCGAGTGCGAGCCATAGGATTGCACCAACATAAAATCCCACCACCACCCGGTCTAAACTCCCACCACCATCTGGTCTAAACTCATACAGCCACCCTGTCTCAATTCCCAGTTCCACCTTGTCTAAACTCCCATAATAACCCGGTCTAGACTCCCACAAACACCCAGAATAAACTCCCACAAACACCCTGTCTAAACTCCCACCACCACAAGTCTAAACTCTCACCACAAGCTGGTCTAAACTCCCACCACCACCCAGTCCAAACTCCCACCAGCACCGGTCCAAACTCCCACCACAAGCTGGTCTAAACTCCCACCACCACCCAGTCTAAACTTCCACCACCACCTGGTCTAAACACCCACCACCACCCGTTATAAACTCCCACCATCATCCGATCTAGAATCCCATCACCACCTGGTCTGAACTCCCACCTCCACCCGGTCTTAACTACCACCACCACCCGGTCTAAAATCCCACCACTAATCGTTCTAAAAAGCCACCACCACCAGGTCTA